GCACTGTCACCCCCAGAGTCACTGTCACCACCTACAGGGTCACTGTCACCCCATGGGGTCATTGTCACCCCCAAGGGACCCCAGACTGGGCAAAGAGCGAGCGCAGGGCGGGGTCCAGGGCGGCCAGCTGGGACAGGGACAGGGACAGGGACAGGGACACACTCAGGGGTCATTGTCACCCCACTGGGTCAGTGTCACCCCCCAGAGTCACTGTCACCCTATACAGGGTCAGTGTCACCCCATGGGAAAAGAGTGACCGCAGGGCGGGGTCCAGCGCGGCCAGCTGGGACAGGGACAGGGACACACTCAGGGGTCAGTGCCACCCCCCACAGGGGCACTGTCACCCCCAGAGTCACTGTCACCCCCCAGGGACCCCGGCCTGGGCGAAGAGCGAGCGCAGCGCCGGGTCCAGGGTGGCCAGCTGGGACAGGGACAGGGACAGGGACAGGGACACACTGAGGGGACACTGCCACCCCCCACAGGGGCACTGTCACCCCATGGGGTCATTGTCACCCCCCAGGGTCACCCCAGCCTGGGCACAGAGCCAGGTGCAGGGATGCCACCTGGACAGGGACAGCTCTGTCACCTCCTGTGTCCCCCCTGTCCCCCCTGTCCCCTCTGTCACCTCTGTCACCTCCTGTGTCCCTCTGTCCCCCTGTCCCCCCTGTGGGGTCACCCCAGGGTCACTGTCACCCCACATGGGGGGACACGGGGGGTACACGAGGTTCCCAGGGGCATTTTGGGGGTTCCCAAGTGCATTTTTGGGTTCCCAGGTAAATTTTAGGGTTCCCAGGTGGATTTTAGGGGTTTCTGGGTGCATTTTGGGGGTTCCCCAGATGCCTTTTGAGAGACTCAGGTGGAATTTGGGGGTTCCCAGGTGCATTTTGGGAAGTCCCAGGTGCATTTTGGGGGTTCCCAACTGGATTTTGGAGGTCCCCAGGTGGATTTTGGGGTCCCCTGTTTATTTTGAGGTTCCCAGGTGCATTTTGGGGGTCCCCAGGTGTATTTTGGGGTCCCCAGGAGCGTTTTGGGGAGGGGTCTCTCACCCGCCCGCTGCTGCCGCCGCCGCAGCCTCTCCTGCACTCGGCCCTCGAACGCCGCGGCCTCGGCCTCAGAGGCGAAGTTCAGCCCCGCCCACCCCTCCTGAGCCAATCAGGAGCGGCCGTGGGCAGCCAGGCCACGCCCACTTTCTCAGAACCACACCCACACTGCCCAGACCACACCCACTTTCCCTTATATGGCATTTGCCTATTGGCCACACCCATAGAAGTGCATAGCCACGCCCATTTCCCTTATATGGTTACGCAGTGTTGACACCTCTCAAAGGCCACACCCACTGACAGCCACACCCATTTCCCTTATATGGTTATGTCCCACCCATTCAGCACAGACCACACCCACCGCAAGGTGACCACACCCATATATGGCCACACCCACTTTCTCTTGACCACACCCACTCCAAATTGGCCCAACCCACAATCCAATTGGCTCCACCCCCTTTTCCACACCCATTTAAGCCCCTCCCCTTTGCCACACCCACAGTGGCTCCTCCCACCGACCAGCCCCGCCCATATTTCCATAGCCCCACCCACTGACCCCACCCAAAGCCACGCCCTCCCGTGGCCACGCCCCCATCCCCGCCCACTCACGTGGCTGACGAAGGTGTGGAAAAAGGGGGTGGGGGTCTTGTAGCCCATCCCCCCCTGCAGCTCCTGCTCCCACCACAGCTCCCCGGCCTGGGGGGGACGTGGGGTCAGGGACCCCCCTGGGGACCCCCAAAAACACCCAGGGACCCCCAAAAAATCCCTCAGGGACCTCCAAAAAATCCCTCAGGGACCCCCAAAACCCCCAGGGACCCCCAAAACCACCCTAAAAACCCCCCAGGGACCCCCAAAACCCCTCAGGGACCCCCAAAACCTCCCCAAAAAATCCCTCAGGGACCCCCAAAAACACCCAGGGACCCCCAGACCCCCAAAATCCCCCAGGGACCCCCAAAACCTCCCCAAAAAATCCCTCAGGGACCCCCAAAAACACCCAGGGACCCCCAAAACCCCTTAGAGACCACCAAAAACCCCTCAGGGACCCCAAAAAAACCCCCCCAGGGACCCCCCAAAACCCCTCAGGACCCCCCAAAACCCCTCAGGGTTCCCCAAGGATTTGGGGTCCCCCAGGGAATTTGGGGACCCCCCAGGATTTGGGGACCCCCCAGAGGATTTGGGGTCCCCTCCTAGAATTTAGGACCCCCCGTCAAATAAGAGGATGATGAAGTGGAACCACCAGGGGCTGTCCTGGATCCACCCCCTGCATTTTAGGGACCCCCCAGGATTTTGGGGACATTCCCCAAGGATTTGGGGTCCCCCAGGGAATTTGGGGACCCCCCAGGATTTGGGGACCCCCCAGATGATTTGGGGTCCCCCCAGGGATTGAGGACCCCCCCTCAAATAAGAGGAGGAGGATGATGGAACCATCAGGGGCTGTCCTGGATCCACCCCCCTGCATTTTAGGGACCCCCCAGGATTTTGGGGACATTCCCCAAGGATTTAGGGTCCCCCCAGGGAATTTGGGGTCCCCCAGGATTTGGGGACCCCCCAGAGGATTTGGGGTCCCCCCAGGGATTGAGGACCCCCCCTCAAATAAGAGGATGATGAAGTGGAACCACCGGGGGCTGTCTTGGATCCACCTCCCTGCATTTTAGGGACCCCTCAGGATTTTGGGGACATTCCCCAAGGATTTGGGGTATTTGAGGTCCCCCCCCAGGATTTGGGGTCCCCCCCGGATTTTGGGGTCCCCAGACTCACGGGCAGGCGGAAGATGCGGATGAAGTAGGAGCGCCGGGGGCTGTCCCGCACCAGGCAGGCGACGCCGCAGCCCCGGAGGCTCCAGGAGCCCCCCGAGACCCCCCCGGGACCCCCTGGGACCCCCCCGGGGACCCCCCCGGGCTCGGCCACCACCAGCTGCACCACGGCGGTCACCAGGGTCTGCGGGGACACGGGGGTGGGACACACGGCACCCCGAAATCCAGCCCAGGCACCCCGAAATCCAGACCAGAGAACAAAAATTCCATCCCAGAGACCCCAAAATGGCTCCAGAGACCCCAAAATACAGCCCAGAGACCCCAAAATGGCTCCAGAGACCCCAAAATACAGCCCAGAGACCCCAAAATGGCCCCAGAGACCCCAAAATCCAGACCAGAGACCCTAAAATCCAGATCAGAGACCCCAAAATGGCCCCAGAGATACCAAAATACAGCCCAGAGACCCCAAAATACAGCCCAAGGACCCCAAAATCCAACCCAGAGAACCTGAAATCCATCCCAGACACCCCAAATTCCAACCCAGAGACCCCAAAATGGCCCCACAGAACCCAAAATCCAGAGCAGAGACCCTAAAGTCCAGATCAGAGACCCCAAAATGGCCCCAGAGATCACAAAATACAGACCAGAGACCCCAAAATACAGCACAGACACCCCAAAATCCAACCCAGAGACCCCAAATTCCATCCCCAAGACCCCAAATTCCATCCCTGAGACCCCAAAATCCAACACAGAGACCCCAAAATGGCCCCAGAGAACCCAAAATCCAACCCTCAAACTCCCCCCCAAACCCCCGAGATCATCCCCATCCCACCCTAAATCCCCCCAAATCCCCCTTAAACCCCCCCAGCTCCCCATCCCATTCCCCAAACTCCCACCCCAAAACCCCAAAATCCTCTCCATCCCACCCCAAACCCCCCCAAATCCCCCTTAAACCACCCCAGTTCTCCTTCCCAGTCCCCCCAGTCCCTCCCAGTCCCCACCCAGTCCCTCCCAGAACAGGCATCGTTTATTGGCGATTCCGGCACCTCTGGGACCCCCCCGGGCTGGGGGGGGAGGGGCAATAAATAAGGGGGGGGAGGGGAGAAGGCACCCAGGGCGGGGGGCAGGAACTGGTTTGTACTGGTCCATACTGGGAGAAGGCCTACGGGCATCAACACAGCAGTGGGGGCGCCCTACCGGTCCATACTGGTCTGTACTGGTCCGTACTGGGAGCACGCAAGGCCACGCAGGTGAGGAGAGCTCTGGACTGGTTTGGACTGGTTTGGACTGGTCCGTGCTGGGAGGACCCAAGGCCACGCCGGTGAAGAGCTCCCAGTTTGGCTGCCGGACTGGTCCGTACTGGTCTGTACTGGTCCATACTGGTGCATGCTGGGATGGCTGAGGGCCATGGCAAGGCACTGGTCCGTACTGGTCCGTACTGGTCCGGCACAAGGCATTGCATGTGGGGGGCTCCCAGTTGGGCTCCCAGCCCCTTCCTGCTCCAAACTGGTCCATACTGGTCTGTAGTGGTCCGGCCCAAGGCAGCGCAGATCCAGGAATTCCCAGGCGGGATGGTGCAGTGGTCGGTACTGGTTTGTACTGGTTTGTACTGGGATGTCCCCCGGAGGCGCAGAACCCAGCAGGGAGGCACTGGGCACTTACTGGTTCATACTGGTTTGTACTGGGATGTCCCACGGAGGTGCACAGCCCAGCAGGGAGGCACTGGGCTCTTACTGGTTCATACTGGTTTGTACTGGGATGTCCCACGGAGGCGCAGAACCCAGCAGGGAGGCACTGGGCTGTACTGGTCCATACTGGGAGGGGTCTCTGGGGAGGTCTGGGGGTCCCTGCTGACCCCAGGGTGGCCCTGGGGACCCCAAAAGCACCGACCTGTCCCCATGGGGGGTCCCCAGTGTCCCACAGACCCCCGAGGTGACCCAGGGTGACACTTTATGGTGTCCCCACGGTGTCCTACAGACCTGGCAGTGACCCCAGTGTCCCCGAGGTGACCTCAGGACCTCCTGGAGATGTTTTATGGTGTCCCCACGGTGCCCTACAGGTTCTCAGGCTCAACTTGGGAGTCCCCGTGAGGGTTTGGGGTCCCTGGAGATGTTCTGTGGGGTCACCACCATGTCCTACAAACCCACAGTGACTTTGGAGCCCCTCATGACAATCTCAGGACCTCTCTGAGATGTTTTATGGGGTCTCCACCCTGTCCTACAGACCCACAGTGACTTTGGAGCCCCTCATGACAATCTCAGGACCTCTCTGAGATGTTTTATGGGGTCTCCACCATGTCCTACACACTTCCAATGACTTTGGAGCCCCTCACGATGACCTCAGGACCACTCTGAGATGTTCTGTGGGGTCTCCACCAGTCCATACTGGGACCACACCAGTAACAGGCATCGTTTATTGGCGATTCCGGCCCCTCTGGGACCCCCCCGGGCTGGGGGGGGAGGGGCAATAAATAAGGGGGGGGAGGGGAGAAGGCACCCAGGGCGGGGGGCAGGAACTGGTTTGTACTGGTCCATACTGGGAGAAGGCCTACGGGCATCAACACAGCAGTGGGGGCGCCCTACCGGTCCATACTGGTCTGTACTGGTCCGTACTGGGAGCACGCAAGGCCACGCAGGTGAGGAGAGCTCTGGACTGGTTTGGACTGGTTTGGACTGGTTTGGACTGGTTTGGACTGGTTTGGACTGGTTTGGACTGGTCCGTGCTGGGAGGACCCAAGGCCACGCCGGTGAAGAGCTCCCAGTTTGGCTGCCGGACTGGTCCGTACTGGTCTGTACTGGTCCGTACTGGTGCATGCTGGGATGGCTGAGGGCCATGGCAAGGCACTGGTCCGTACTGGTCCATACTGGTCCGGCACAAGGCATTGCATGTGGGGGGCTCCCAGTTGGGCTCCCAGCCCCTTCCTGCTCCAAACTGTGGGGGGCTCCCAGTTGGGCTCCCAGCCCCTTCCTGCTCCAAACTGGTCCATACTGGTCTGTAGTGGTCCGGCCCAAGGCAGCGCAGATCCAGGAGTTCCCAGGCGGGATGGTGCAGTGGTTGGTACTGGTTTGTACTGGTTTGTACTGGGATGTCCCATGGCGGTGCACAGCCCAGCAGGGAGGCACTGGGCTCTTACTGGTTCATACTGGTTTGTACTGGGATGTCCCATGGCGGTGCACAGCCCAGCAGGGAGGCACTGGGCTCTTACTGGTTCATACTGGTTTGTACTGGGATGTCCCACGGAGGCGCAGAACCCAGCAGGGAGGCACTGGGCTGTACTGGTCCATACTGGGAGGGGTCTCTGGGGAGGTCTGGGGGTCCCTGCTGACCCCAGGGTGGCCTTGGGGACCCCAAAAGCACCGACCTGTCCCCATGGGGGGTCCCCAGAGTGTCCCACAGAGCCCCGAGGTGACCCAGGGTGACACTTTATGGTGTCCTCACGGTGTCCTACAGAGCTGGCAGTGACCCCAGTGTCCCCGAGGTGACCTCAGGACCTCCTGGAGATGTTTTATGGTGTCCCCACGGTGCCCTACAGGTTCTCAGGCTCAACTTGGGAGTCCCCGTGAGGGTTTGGGGTCCCTGGAGATGTTCTGTGGGGTCACCACCATGTCCTACAAACCCACAGTGACTTTGGAGCCCCTCATGACAATCTCAGGACCTCTCTGAGATGTTTTATGGGGTCTCCACCTTGTCCTACAGATCTGCAATGACTTTGCAGACTCTCATAATGATCTCAGACCCACTCTGAGATGTTCTGTGGGGTCTCCACCATGTCCTACAAACCCACAGTGAATTGGAGGCCCTCAGGACCTCTCTGAGATGTTCTATGGGGTCTCGCCTTGTCCTACAAACCTCCAGTGACTTTGGAGCCCCTCACGATGACCTCAGAACCACTCTGAGATGTTTTATGGGGTGCTCTGAGACGTTTCCCGGCCTCACTACCTCACCCTACAGACTCCCCACGGCAGCCCTTTCACTCCCACCCTCTCTCCCCCGCACCCCCCGCCCCGCCGGCGCTGCCGAGTGCCCCCCTACCCCGAGGGAGGTCCCGCCGGGGGTCCCCCCGGCGCGGCGGCGCCCCAGCCCTCCAGGTACCTGGCGAAGAGCCCCTTGGCGCGGCGCAGGACGCGCGGCAGGTGGTGGCGGCGCACCAGGCGGTCGAAGTGCATGGCCACCTCGTTGTAGTCGCCCGCCCGCGCCATGACGGCGTCGCGCTGCTCCAGCAGCATGGCCAGGCACACGAAGAGCAGGAAGGGGTTCCCCTGGCCCAGCTCCTCCGGCGGCGGCAGCGGCGCGCCGTCGTCCTCCACCGTCACCTCCTCGTCCGAGGAGGACGAGCCCGAGGAGCACGAGGAGGAGGAGGAGGAGCTGGAGGAAGGCTCTTCCCAAGCCCAACGGCCGCCCCAAGGGTCTTCGGGGGTGGTTGGGCTGTTGCGGGTGGTCTTGGGGTCGTGGTGGTCGTCATCAAGGTCGCGGTGGCCGTGTTTGGTGTCGTCGTGTTCTTCCTTGGGGTCGTGGTGGCCGTGTTTGAGGTCATCGTGGGTGTCCTTGGGGTCATCATGTCCTTCCTTGGGGCCATTCCTGAGGTCATCACGGCCATCCCTGGGGTCACGGTGGCCATCCCTGGGGTTGTTGTGGCCTTCTCCCAAGCTGTGTCCTTCTCTGAGATCATCGTGAGCCTTCCTGAGGTCATCACGATTCATCCCACGATCATCTCCACCTTCTCCCAGGTCATCAAGTCCCTCTTTGGGGTCATCTCGTCCTTCTCCTGGGTCATGTCCCTCTCTGGGGCCATCCCGTCCTTTCTTGGGGTCTTCTCCAGCCGCCCAGCAGAGGCTGTGGGGTCTCTGGTCCATCTCCAGGGCGTCGGTGCCTTCCTCCACCTTCCTGGGGCCACCTGGCTCCGAGTCCTTGGAGCCCTCGGGGGCTCCTCCAGCATCCCTGGGGGGTCTCCCCTGGACCTTCCTGGAGCTCTTGTGACCTTTGGGGACATTGCTGGAGCTCTTGTGACCTCTGGGGACATCGCTGGAGTTCTCAAGACCTTCCTGAATGTTCTTAAAGCTCTTGGGACCCTCCTGGCTGTCCCTGGGACCATCAGGGACATCGCTGGAGCTCTTGGGACCCTCCTGGATGCCCTTGGATCCTTCTAGAACATCACTGAAGCTCTTGGGACTCTCCAAGACCTCGCTGGAGATCTCGGGACTGTTGGGGACATCTCCGGAGCTCTTGGGACCCTCTGGGCCATCACTGGAAGTCTTGAGACCCCCAGGGCCACCACTGGAGCTCGTGGGACCACCCGGGACATCACTGGAGCTTGTGGGACCACCTGTGATATCACTGGAGCTCGTGGGACCCTCCAGGACATCCGTGGAGCTCGTGGGACCACCCGGGACACCACTGGGGCTCGTGGGACCCTCAGGGCCATCACTGGAACCCTTGAGACCCCCAAAGCCACCACCAGAACCCTCCGCGGCCCCTCCGGCACCTTCTCCTCCCCGTTCCTCCACGTTCCTCCTCCTCCTCCTCCTGCGGGGCGGCCGCGGCCGCAGCCCCCGGCGCTCCCTCAGCCCCCGGCCGGCCCTGCGCGCCCCCAGGGGGGCTCCGAGCAGCGGCACCCCCTCGGGGGGCGGCGGCGGCGCGGGGGGCAGCGAGCTCCAGGTGATCTCCAGCACCTTGAGCGCGTCCTCGAAGGCGAACTCGCGCTTCAGCTCCAGCAGCAGCCAGCGGTAGCAGAAGAGCAGGTCGTGGGCGCCGCGCGCCGCCAGGAAGGCCCAGAACGGGGGGTCGGCGCGCCGCAGCAGCCGCCGCAGGTGGCCGAAGGCCCGCGCCAGCCCGCGGCCGCCGGGGCGGAAGCGCGGCGCCAGGCGGCGCATCAGCGAGCAGAAGCACAGGAAGGCCTGCGCCTCGTCGTCCAGCACGGCCAGCAGCGGCGCCGCCACGTCCGACATGCCCTGGCAGTAGGAGAGGCGCGGGTGGCCCAGCGCGAAGGTGGTGAGCAGCGCCTGCAGCGCCGCCAGGTGAGGGTGGCCCTCCTCGGGGCCGCCGAAGTAGGGGTGGGCGCGGTCCGTGCGCACCACGTCCTTGCGCACCGCCGCGGCCACCTGCGCCAGCTCGGCCGGCGCCGCGCGCGCCGCCAGCGCCGCCTTCAGCGAGGAGTACTCGGCCGCCTTGAGGCGCAGGTGGGACAGGCGCTCCTGGCCCGTCAGGCCGGCGGGGAACACGTTCAGCAGGTAACGCCACACCACCTGTACAGGGAATGGGACAGGTGAGGGATCAGAGAAGTGTTCCACAGGTAACGCCACGCCACCTGTACAGGGAATGGGATAGGTGAGAACAGGGACACGTTCAGCAGGTAACGTCACACCACCTGTGGGAAACGGGGACAGGTGAGAACCAGGGACATGGTCACAGGTAACGCCACGCCACCTGTACGGGGAATGGGATAGGTGAGAACAGGGACACGTTCAGCAGGTAACGCCACACCACCTGTACGGGGGGAATGGGACAGGTGAGAAACCAGGGACGTGTTTTACAGGTAACGCCACACCACCTGTACGGGGGGAATGGGACAGGTGAGAAACCAGGGACGTGTTTTACAGGTAACGCCACACCACCTGTACGGGGGGAATGGGACAGGTGAGAAACCAGGGACGTGTTTTACAGGTAACGCCACACCACCTGTACAGGGGGAATGGGGATAAGTGAGAGCAGGGACACGTTCAGCAGGTAACGCCACACCACCTGTACAAGGAATGGGACAGGTGAGAAACCAGGGACGTGTTTTACAGGTAACGCCACACCACCTGTACAGGGGGAATGGGGATAAGTGAGAGCAGGGACACGTTCAGCAGGTAATGCCACACCACCTGCATGGGGGAACAGGGACAGGTGAGGGATGTTTGACAGGTAACGCCAGAACACCTGTATGGTGGAATTAGAGTTAAGGAGTTAAGAACAGCAAAGTCCAGGTGCATCTGAGGACCCCCAGGTACGGCTGAGGTGGCATCAGAAGCCCCCAGCTGTAATTCACACGCAACCAGAACCCCCCAGGTGTGCCTCAGGTGTGACCAGAACCCCCCAGGTGTGATTCAGCTGCAATCACAACCCCCAGGTGAGCTTCAGGGAAGTCAAAGAACCCCCAGGGTGTAGCTCACAGGACCTCAGGTGTGATCAGAAACTCTCCAGGTATATCCCCGGTGTGACCACACCCCCCAGGTGTGACCACACCCCCCAGGTGTGCCCCAGGTGTGACCACACCCCCACAGGTGTGTCCCAGGTGTGACCACACCCCCCCAGGTGTGCCCACACCCCCCCAGGTGTGCCCCAAGTGTCACCACACCCCCCAGCTGTGCCCCAGGTGTAACCACGCCCCCCAGCTGTGTCCCAGGTGTGACCACGCCCGCCAGGTGTGCCCAGGTGCGGCTCCGCTCCCTCCCAGGTGTGACCACACCCCCCAGGTGTGCCCCAGGTGTGATCAGAACCCCTCCCAGGTATATCTGCTTACACCCCCAGGTGTATCCCAGGTGTGACCACACCCCTCCAGCTGTGTCCCAGGTGTGACCACGCCCCCCAGGTGTGCCCCAGGTGTGACCACACCCCCACAGGTGTGTCCCAGGTGTGACCACACCCCCCCAGGTGTGCCCACACCCCCCCAGGTGTATCCCAGGTGTAACCACGCCCCCCAGCTGTGTCCCAGGTGTGACCACGCCCGCCAGGTGTGCCCAGGTGCGGCTCCGCTCCCTCACCTTGCGCAGGCCGGGCTCGACGCCGCCGTGGAAGACGTGCAGCCGCAGCTCCTGGGGCCGCAGCAGGCGCCCACCTGGGCCCAGGTACGCCCTCAGGTCGGCGTCGCTCAGGGGGGCGCAGGGCGGGGGCGGGGAGGGCACTGGGAGGCACTGGGAGGCGCTGGGGGCACTGGCAGGGCACTGGGAGGGACTGGGAAGCACTGGGAGGTACTGGGAGGGCACTGAGAGGCACTGGGAGGCACTGGGAAGCACTGGGATGCCCAAGAGAGCAGCAGGAGCTCTCTGTGAGCTCCTGGCAGGGCGGGGCTGTCCAGGTGTGCCTCACCCGTGCCAGGTGTGCTCACCCGTGCCAGGTGTGCTCACCTGTGCCAGCAGAGCCTGGGTGAAGGGCAGCGCTGCCGCCAGCAGCGAGCGGCGCTCGGGGAGCGGCTCGGCCGCCGCCACCTCCCGCGGGCTGATGATGTCCCAGTCCTCCAGCAGCGGGCCTGGGGACAGCACACCTGAGCCTCAGGTACCTGAGAGCCCCGCCTCGCACACCTGAGCCACCGGTACCTGAGAGCCCTGGCAGCCCCGCCTCGCACACCTGAGCCACAGGTACCTGAGAGCCCCACCTCGCACACCTGAGCCTCAGGTACCTGAGAGCCCTGGCAGCCCCGCCTCGCACACCTGAGCCACGCTGGGATCCTCCCCCAGGTGCCCAGCACCTCCCGACACCCAGCCCAGGGCCCCAGGTGTGCCAGGTGTGTGTCCCCAGGTGGGTCCTGTCCCACCCAGGTGTGTCCCACTGTGTCCAGGTGTGTGCAGGTGAGTCTGTGACCATCCCAGGTATGCCTCAGGTGAATTCCAGGTGTGTCCCCGCTACCCAGGTGTGTCCCAGGTGATTTCTCTCAGGTGGGTGTGTCTCATGTGGGGCTGTGAGTGTCCCAGGTGTGTCCCAGGTGTGTCTCCACCCACCCAGGTGTATCCCAGGTGTACTCCAGGTGTATCTCCACCCATCCAGGTGTGTCCCAAGTGTGTCTCCACCCACCCAGGTCTATCCCAGGTGTACCCCAGATGTATCCCAGCTGTGTCTCCACCCACCCAGGTGTGTCCCCACCCACCCAGGTGTATCCCAGGTGTTCTCCAGGTGCACCTCCGCCCACCCAGGTGAATCTCGGGTGTATCCCAGGTGTGTCTCCACCCACCCAAGTGTGTCCCAGGTGTGTCTGTCTACCCAGATGTGTTCCAGGTGTATCCCCACCCACCCATTGTATCCCAGGTGTATCCCCACCCATCCAGGTGTATCCCAGGTGTATCCCCACCCACCCAGGTGTATCCCAGGTGTATCCCCACCCACCCAGGTGTGTCCCAGGTGTATCCTCACCCACCCAGGTGTGTCCCAGGCGCGTCACTCACTGTCAGGGGGGTTCCTGACGTCCAGGCGCAGCCTCAGGGTGGGCTTGGCACAGGTGAAGGCGTTGGCCAGGTCACCGTCGCTCAGCAGAGGCACAAAGGTGTCCTGGCCCTGCCCGTCCCGCGCTGCGAAGCTCAGAGCGAAGCTTTTCTTCCTGAAAGGGGGGACAGGTGAGCTCACCTGGCTGCTCTGGGGGTCCCAGGGGGGGAACCGGGGGGGTCTCGCTCACCCCTGCAGGTCGAAGGCCCGGGCCAGGATGTGCTGCAGCACGTCCAGCGACGTGATCTGCGGGTCCACGGCGAACGAGCGGAACTCGGGCGGCTGCTGCCCCTCGTTCTTCTGCGGGAGGAGCGTCAGGGGGTCCCGGGAGGGTCCCGGGGGGTCCCGGAGCCCCCCGGCCCCTCACGGCGATCCAACATGGCGGCGCAGCGCCGTCGCCACGGCAACGCCTCGCGCCTCCCGCAGCGCCGATTGGCGGATGCTCCCCACGTGACACCAAAGGCGGGAAAATTTCCCGCCGGCGCCACGCGAGCAGGCGGCGACTGCCCCCACGATCTGATTGGCTGCCGGAGAGCGCGTGACCCCCCCACCACCCCTTAACCCCGCCCACACCCACTAATTACATAACCACGCCCACACAGGGTTCCGCCCAGAAGCACGCCCCGCCCCTTACCTTGACGCGCACGCGCACAACCTCGCACTCCTCCTCCAGCGCGGCCCCGCCCCCGCCGCCCGGCGAGGCCCCGCCCCCCGCCGCCGCCGCCATGTTGGGGCGGGGTCGGGGGGGGCTCGGGGTCCGGGGGGGTTTCGCCGCCGCCGCCGCCGCCCCCCGAGCCGGGGAAGCGGGGGGCTGCTGTTACGTCACCGTGCTGACGTCACGCCGCGCCCCCCGGCCGGACGGTGCGCGGTTTTCGGGGGGGATCCGGAGCCGCGCCGCGCCCGTGCCCGTCCTGCGGCCGCGGCCGTGGCAACAACATCCGGGGCAGCGCGCGGAAGTGACGTCACGGGGCGGGCTCGGCCGAGTTGGTCTGCGGATGACGTCACCGACTCCTCCCACCCTTTCCCAAGGCAGCGAAATGACGTCACAGGCAGCGATTCACATCGGGTTTATTGGGGGGGAGGGGGGCGCATGCGGGACCCCCTTAAACGGGCAACGCCGGAGTGGGGACCACGTCCTTCTTAAAGGGGCAACGCCGCGGCGGGAACCGCCCCCGCTCTTAAAGGGGCAACGCCCTGCAGGGGGCCCCGCCCACCCTTAAAGGGGCAACGCCACGTAAAGAACCGTCCAGCCTTAAAGGGGCAATGCCAGAGGGACCCACCACGTCCTTAAAGGGGCAACGCCTCCCCCGCAGCAGCGCCCCGGCCGGGGGGCGGAGCTTGCGAGGGGGCGGGGGGCGAGGCCCCGCCCACCAGGAGAGGCCCCGCCCCTCAGGGGGGTCCCGGGGGGGCCGCCTGTTCCTTCCTGAGCTGCGCCAGCTCCTGGGACAGCGACTCCAGGTCCTGGAAAGGGAGGAATGATGGGGGGGGAAAGACCACGCCCACTGCGCGAGGCCACGCCCTCAGAGTGGCCACACCCTTGTGCTGGCCACGCCCACAGCTGAAAGCCCCGCCTCCACTTTAATTCTCCCTTTTATGTCTATAATTTGTGATGTCATAACTGACACCACACCCCCACACTTAGACCACGCCCCTTTTAGACCCACCCTTTTCATAAGCCACACCCCTATAAGCCACACCCTCGCCCTTTAGCCACACCCCTTCCCACAGACCACACCCACTTCAATAAACCACACCCCTTTAAGAGGTTCCACCCCTTCCCTCAAACCACGCCCCCGAGCCACGCCCCCAAGGCCCCGCCCCCTCGGGCCCCGCCCCTCACCTGTGCCAGGTGCAGGTTCTTGGTGAGCTGCTCCTCCAGCAGGTTCTGCAGCTTCTTGTTCATCTCCCGCAGCCCCTCACAGGGGAGACTGGGACGGGGGGACAGGTGGTTGGGGTGCAAGGTGAGGGTACAGGTGAGAGCAGTGCCAGGTGAGCCCAGGTGTGACAGGTGCCCCAGGTGTGACAGTCTCCAGGTGCCCCAGGTGAGCCCAGGTGCCCCAGGTGCCCACCGGTGCGGCTGTCCCTGACGAAGCTCTGGATGATGGCGCTCTTCCTGCACAGATCCTCGGCCATGGACGCGCTCGACACCTCCAGGTGCCTCACCTGCCCGGGCTGCAGGTGAGCAGCGCGACCCCGCCCACCCAGTGCCTCCCAGTGCCTCCCAGTGCTCCCAGTGCCTCCCAGTGCTCCCAGTGCCCTCCCAGTGCCCTCCCAGTGCCCCCAGTGCCTCCCAGTGCCCCCAGTGCCCTCCCAGTTACCCCAGTTTGCCCGGTACCTTCTCCTCCAGCAGCCAGCGCTCCTGCTGGCTCTGGGCCAGCCTCTGGAACAGCTCGGCCACCTCTGCGGGGGACAGGCCCCCCCCGGCCGGGGCCCCGCCCCCGCTGCCGCCCCCGGGGCTGCCCGAGCCCGACTGCAGGGGCGCGGCCGGGGCGGGGCCACCGCGTCAGGCCACGCCCACCAGGGCCCCGCCCCCACCGCGGGGCTGGGTCCTCAAGGGGAGGGGGGATGGCCACGCCCACATTGGGATGGGTGGGAAAGCACGCCCATATTTGGGCAAAGACACGCCCACAATGAGCCACGCCCGGTTTGGGTGTGTCCTTATTAAGCCACGCCCACCCAGCCATGCCCCTATTGGGTCACAGCCAAGCCACGCCCATACTAAGCCACGCCCACCAAAAGCCACGCCCACCCATCCACACCCCCACTGGTCACACCCAAGCCACGCCCACAATAAGCCACGCCCAGCTTGGGTGTGTCCTTACTAAGCCACGCCCACCCAGCCATGCCCCATTGGGTCACAGCCAAGCCACGCCCACAATAAGCCACGCCCAAATTTGGTGTGACCTAGCTAAGCCACACCCACCCAGCCATGCCCTCTTAAGCCACACCCCCATTGGGTTACAGCCATCTAGGCCACACCCCAAATTAGCTGTGCTCTAATTAAACCACACCCTCTTAAGCCACACCCCCACCACGCCCTTCAAAGCCACGCCCACTACGGCCACACCCCCAATTAGCGCCCAAGCCACACCCACCAATTATTACCCCAATTAAGCCATGCCTTAAATAAACCACGCCCACCTTACATCACACTGCTGCAGGCCACACCCCTAAAACCGCACCCATTTAATGCAAATAAGCCACGCCCACAAAGCCACACCCCCACAAACCACGCCCATTTAATGCAAATAAGCCACGCCCACAAAGCCACGCCCCCACAAACCACACCCATTCCCAGCTCCCATCCCATTTCCCTGAGACCACACCCACTTTCCTAGGCCACGCCCCCTCCCTGATGCCCCGCCCATTCCCCAGGCCACGCCCACCTTGGTGCTGCCGGGGGCGGAGCCATCGTCTTAAGCCACACCCCCATTGGGTTACACCCATCTAGGCCACACCCCAAATTAGCAGTGCTCTAATTAAACCACACCCTCTAAACCCACCCCCCCACCACGCCCTTCAAAGCCACGCCCACTACGGCCACCCCCCCAATTAGCCCCCAAGCCACACCCACCAATTATTACCCCAATTAAGCCATGCCTTAAATAAACCACGCCCACCTTACATCACACTGCTGCAGGCCACACCCCTAAACCCACACCCATTTAATGCAAATAAGCCACACCCACAAAGCCACACCCCCGCGGACCACACCCATTCCCAGCTCCCATCCCATTTCCCTGAGACCACACCCACTTTCCTAAGCCACGCCCCCTCCTGATGCCCCGCCCGTTCCCGAGGCCACGCCCACCTTGGTGCTGCCGGGGGCGGAGCCGTCGCGGCCCAATGAGGACACGGAGCTGCTGTCGCCGCCCGGGCCCCGCCCAGGGGAGGAGCCTCCGTCCAGCCCCAGCTCCTCCAGCCCTGGGGACCCCAGAACCCGTCAGGGACCCCAACATGGACCCAGGGACCCCCAGAATGCACCCGGGGACCCCAAAATGCCATCGGGGACCCCAAAATTCACCCAGGGACCCCCAAAATTCACCTGGGGACCCCAAAACCCTGCCAGGGACCCCAAAATTCACCTGGGGGCCCCCAAAATGCACCTGGGGACCCCAAAATCCCATCAGGGACCCCAAAATCCCATCAGCAAACCCAAAATCCCGTCAGGGACCCCTCTCAAATTTCGGGCTCCCACTCCCCAAATTTCAGGCTCCCTCCTCCCAGATTTTGGGCTCCCCCTCCCCAAATTTCAGGGTTTCCCTCCCCAAATTTTGAGGTTCCTGCTCCCCAAATTTTGGCGTCTCCACAACCCAAATTTCAGGGTCCCACTCCCCAAATTTTGGGGTCCCTCCTCCCCAGATTTCAGTGTCCCCTCCCCAAATTTTGATGTCCCCTTCCCAAATTTTGAGGTTCCCACTCCCCAGATTTCAGGGTCCCCCTCCCCAGATTTTGGGCACCCCCTCCCCAAATTTTAGGGTTCCAATTCCCAAATTTCCAGGTCCCCTCCCCAAATTTCAGGCTCCCCCTCCCCAGGGATTTTTCGGTTGTTTTTGAGGATTTTGGGGCCGTTTTTAAGGACTTTGGGTTGGTTTTGGGGATTTTGGGGCCATTTTTGGGGATTTTGGGGCCGTTTTTAGGGATTTTTGGGTTATTTTTGAGGATTTTGGGGCCGTTTTTAGGGATTTTTGGGTTGCTTTAGTGGATTTTGGGGCCGTTTTTACAGATTTTTGGTTGTTTTGAGGCTTTTGGGGCCATTTTTGGGGATTTTGGGGCCGTTTTTAGGGATTTTTGGGTTGTTTTTGAGGATTCTGGGGCCGTTTTTGGGGATTTTGGGGTCCCACCTGTGTCAGGGCGCGTCCCTCGGCCTCGTGCAGCTCCCGCAGCCGCTGCTCCTCCGCCAGCGCCGCCCGCAGCTGCCCCAGCTCCTCCTGGGGGACAGGTGGGGACATTTTGGGGACTTTTGGGGACATTTGGGGACATTTGGGGACTTTTGGGACCGTTTCAGGACCTTTAGGGACAATCCAGGGACACCCACCCAGCCATGCCCTCTTAAGCCACACCCCCATTGGGTTACACCCATCTAGGCCACACCCCAAATTAGCAGTGCTCTAATTAAACCACACCCTCTTAAGCCACACCCCCACCACGCCCTTCAAGGCCACGCCCACTACGGCCACACCCCCAATTAGCGCCCAAGCCACACCCACCAATTATTACCCCAATTAAGCCATGCCTTAAATAAACCACGCCCACCTTACATCACACTGCTGCAGGCCACACCCCTAAA